AAGCAACCTGTTCCAGAGGCTAACTACCTTGTTAGAAAAATTTAAACTGTCATAGCTTAAGATTACTTTTCTACTAAAATTTATATTTGTGTCCCCTAGTCTTACCACTTTCAGCATTAATAATGAAAAAAGATGATGCATCAACACTATCAATTCATTTAACAATCAACACTTCCACCAGATCCCCTCTAAATTTTCTTTTTTCAAGATAAAACAAGTTCAGAGATCTTAACCTATCCTCATAATATTTCCATCCCAGTTATCAATCTAGAATCTCTTCTTTGAACTTGTATTTAATATTTCTGGAGATACAACCTAAAATTCTTTATTTTACCACTAGCAAAAGCACATTGCTTACTGGCTTAAAACAGTGCTTCTCAACCAGGGTATCCACAGAACCATCAGGTTCCTCTACAGACGTCCAGGGTTCCACGAGATATTGGGTTCCAAGGAATACAAGAGTTCCCCAGGTTTTTTTAGTGAATAGGACAGCCTAGATGGACCAAAAGATCCCTTGTTGTCCTTTATACTATGTTAAATTTGTGTCATTTTGTTATTTTCAGAATATAGCACAAATAAATCAGAAGCCTTTCTCCTATTGACCCCTCCCCAAAATGAGCTGGAAAACTTCTATAAGATGATCAGTTACCATTCCTTTTTCTGTAGAAAATAAATTTAAAGATCCTAACCTATCCCTGTAAGATAATTCTACCATTCTTGGAATCATTCTGCATGATCAAGGCTGAATTGCTCTTGCTCATTAATCTCTTGAGATTAACACAATATATTTCTTCAAACAACCAGAATATGAAACATATGTGAAAGTCTTTACAGTAGCTACAAGAACAATAGCTTTTTATTTGCTAAATAGCTGTGGGAACATGTTTTGGCTGGATGCTGCTGAACCTTATCACTTAATGAGAGCGAGAAAAACTGATATTGAATTGAGTGTTTTTTTTACTGTTGTCATTTCTATAAGAAGTGTCATAGGGAGATATTCAGTTCAATTCAAATCAATTTGAAACATGCTCTTTATTATTAGGTTTTTTGTGTTCTGATAGTTGCATTTAGTTTTTGTCAGTTCAACACCATAACACATGATCACTTGTCCTTAGTGTTGTATTGTACCTTGTGTTTTTGATTTTGAGTATTGTTTTTCCATGTGCAGCCTAACACCAGCTGACACTTGAAGGGAAATGTACCCCAATACCTGAAATTTGAGAACCTATTAGCAGGACTAATGATCACCTCTGATGTAAATCCATGTGATACCACAAAACTTAAAAAATGGCTTTAGAACTGTGGTCACATGATAACCAGGCACTTGTTCTCACATATTTAAGTGTAAAAATAAACTGTATACATAAAACTGTATTATTGTATTAGGATTTTTTTTTTTAAGAATGGTAGTTACGCTCTGTTGATTTTACATTATGTGAATGTTCACCATTACAAAAGTGATTCCAAGATTGGAAAAGTTTCAGAACCACTGATTTATGCAACACTGAAGCTATAATTAAGAGCATTATGAAGTTGTTATTGTTTTAACCTTTTCATTGTGCTCAGCATTTGGTTTTATATTGTTAAAGGTTGTGGGGTTTGCTGTGTAGTTTCAGAGCCATTAAAATAGGTTGTTCATGATCTCTAGGTAGAATCTTTCATTTTGTGTTGTGCTATTTTTTTCATCTTTCAGTAGCACTCAAAGATCGCTTATACAACATTTTTAGACCTATTTCTCTTACTTATGTAATTTATTCACTTTGATATATATGCACATGTAGCATACATTTTACAGGTGTAGAATATTCTAAACTTATTTGGGAATAATAATGAGGCTTCTTAGGAATACTGCATTATCTGGGCTGATAGGGAGGGAAAACTACTGTACAAGTGAAAGCATATCTGATCCTGTTTTCTAAGTTTATCATGGCTAAATGGAAATATAAAGCTGCAGAAGTAAACTATTGAATGTTGGAGAAGCCCTAGAATTCATCCCAAATCTTTTGTGAAGGCACATATCTTGCTGAAGATGCATAGTGGTCACATGATTTTATGTAATTCACATAACATACAACCATTAGAAAACTTGGAGATTTTCCTGAAATACGTTATATATGTAGCTAAGGCAAATACATCTGTGCAGGGATATAGAGAAAGAAAAAATGCCATTATGCTCTGCAGTACAGTGCACATCATTAAGAAGCAAGGTAAGTGTATATAGCTTGATTGCTAGAAATAATATTGGAGTATCTATTGGCTGACATTTCTTTTATCCATTTAGAATCAGCATTATGTAGAAAACACTAACTGAAGTTATAGTTAATAACCTTGTATAGTGATACATGTATTATTTTAATGAGAAAAGATACCATTGTTAAGAAGCGGAGTATTGGTTTAAATTTCTCTGATCCAAATAGATTTAACATTGTATGCAAAAAATAATAATCAAAACTCCTTTTATTTTGACTTACTTACCCACAGCTTTTGACATTTCATTATTTGAGTATTGATGGAGCTTAAATGTTGCAGAAGTTATTGATGTACTGTAACCCCTAACAAACTATCTGTTATTGTAATGAACAATAAAATTGTATTTATCAGTCTTTTGGATGTAACTAAAACAGCTAAAGCAATGAATCGGATATTATTACAAATATAAGTTAGTGTTATCGAGGTCACATTTCCAAAATATCATCCTGTGTGGATTCAAACTATTATGTTGTAGATCTGGTTTCTCCATCTATAGCCTTGGTGTAATCAAGTTTTCCCATTAATACAATAAATTTAATTTTCTAGTAACAATAAAGCAATAGTTCTAACTCGTGATTGATGATGCACTGCAAAGCACTTGTTGATCTAAGTATTCAGTTTTCATAGTATCATGTTTTTGGTAAATGGGAAGATTCAAGTTGTTTTATATCATGTTTAACCCTACCTTAGTACCATCGGTTTGCTGGACAACATTAGTACCAAGGGGTTGGGTCACACCCCCATCCAGAGAAAAATGATAATGAATATGTTTTATTATTATTATAACTACAATATGTCCATGTATACTTGCAAGTTAAGTATCTTGTGACTGATTCCATAGCATTTTGCTTAATTTTTATATTATGGGTAGTGTTAATAGAGGAATAATGAAACTATAAAAAATCATTCATATTTTATTTGACAAACAATAGTCATCATTCCAAATATAAAGTCAGTATGTTTTTTAACTAAGCATCTTTTTAAGAGTTATTTTGAACAAAAAAATCATTAGTTTATTAAAATCAATGAAAATGCCTAATCTCACTTTCAGTGTCACCGTCTATCCTCAATGTGAAAAACAAAAACTTGAATAATTTGAGATTTCATAAACAAACACATTACTGAGGCAAACATTCCTTCATATTCGGTATAAATTCGCTCTAGAAACACTAATTGAATCAATAATAACAAAAAAATAAAGATATAGACTTTCCCAGAAATGCATCTTGGTTTATTACTGTGGGGTGTTTGTGCACCAGAGCAAGAACAAAATGCATGTTCTCATTGTGGCTGAGGTAGAATTGGGAGGAACTAAGTGTGCACAACTGTCTCAGTGCTACCATCTCTTAGTGATGATGTTAACAAACATATATGGGGTTCGAAAACACCATGTGACTGACAGAGGGTTAACAATTAGAAAAGGGAAGAGTGATACCACAAGTGAAGTATTCTGATATGAGAATTTTCAGGTCAATGTACAGTCATTCATTTTTGCACTGAAAGATCATCCCTATTAAGTATAAGCTTTCTAATTTTGTTACAGTATTAAGATGTTGAATATTGTTGATTTTCATGTGTAGAATCTTTTTGATTAAAGATAATTAGTATGATATTTTATAACCTTAAGTTACATGTGACTCGCAAGATATTTTGGTGTTGTAGCTTGTGTCTTGATAATTTGATGTATATAATGTAGTAAGAATAAATGGATGTTAAGGTTCAGAATTAAATTACTAAATTTAAAATTTATTCATATTTCAAATAACCAAGTCTACAAAAATGACAAACCTCTTAAAGGAATTCTTATTTGAAAAAAAATGAGTATTATGAGATCTGTATGTTCCAATTAATGAAAGTTTCAACAGATCAGATGTGGTAAGTTTAGTTTTTAATCCTGAACTGATAAGGTTTTTAAAATGTGTGAATGTAAAAGATATTTTATATATATATGCGTGTGTTTGTGTGTGTGTGTCATGGCTTTTGAAAAACTTTTTTGGGTGAGAAAGTTTTTAGTTAGCATTTTAAAGTTGAACTTGGGTAGGTTGTACAAAAATCAGAATTCGAAGAATGAATTCCATGTAGGTATTGTTTGATATATTTATGATGGGAAGGGTTTTTTTGTTTAATACCTGTTGAATTTACATACAAAAGTATAGGTTTATAATCAGTAAAAATACAAATGTTCAAAACATGAAACTTTAAGTTAATGGTAAGTACTGAATGTCACATTCATAAAATAAAGTGTTAAAAATACTACTTTAGATGTAATGAACAAAGATAATTTGTATGTTTATTTGTGAGGAAGATGATAATCATCTTAAAAGTACTAAGTCGCTCTCAGTAATATTGGCTTAAATAAAAATAATATAATTGGTCAATTAGATTTTATTCATTCCTTTGTGTATTTCAACTTTATATCTATGAATTTTTGTTTATATATTAACACTTAAGAATAACGTATTCAGTTGAAAGGATAAAAAAAAATTGTTTTTTTTTGTATCTTATAAACACTTTTACTTTCTAATTATCTTTTGATAGCCTGATTTGGTAGTATAAGAGGAACTCTTCAGTCTGAAGCTGTTCTTGCACATCAACACCAGGCTCTACACATGCAGTAATGTTCCATTTTAACCCTGGTACTTTGGATATAATTATGATTAATACCCCTGTGTGTTTATATGTAAAAACATTTAACATGATATTTTCTTTAGCTAAAATGTAAAATTAAAATAAAATCTTATATTTTACAGGCTATCCGTTGGCAATTGTTCATCGACAGTTCCTTTTTCACAAGTCACCATCACTTCAACATATATTCTTCCTGCTGTGTGGACTTACATTGGGATATTTCAATTATGGTTAGCTTTTATGTAATTTTATTGATGATGGTGTACATTCAGAGTGGGGCACAATTATGCACCCACCCAAAATATTGAGCAATTTGAATTATATTTCGATAAGCTACTTCTGTAATCATATAAATGCATCTCCTAGATCGACTGTGCCAGAACAAAGAAATCCATCACCATCTCGAGGTGCAGTCCACATTAAGGAAACACTTCTTTGAACAACCAATACTTACAAGGAAACGAGTGGGTGACACATTCAATTAACATAAAAACTTGCCTGGAACATGCACTTATTTGGTTGTAGAAAATAACATTTCCAAATTTTATTCAAATCGGACAACATTTCGGATGGATACCATGTAGTACCACACCCTATATGTGTGTATGGGGCTACTGATCGTTACTGGAGAGTGTGTGGGGGGGGGGGATTTAAAAAGACAATAAATTGTTTGTAAACTTCTGTAGTCTTGTACCCATGGCATTAAAAAATTATCATTGTAGTAACTATTTTACATTGTGTTTTAATAACTATATTTGTCCTCTCACCACTATCAAATTTTAGAAAATTAATTTTCAAGCACACAGGAGACAGAATTGAAAACCATTTCTGATAAAGAATATTAAATTAAATTAACTGTAGCAGTTAACCAAAACTAAAAGTAAAGTTTTAGTTATTAAAACACAAAAAATATTTTTTTTTCTCTATTATTATTATTTTTAAAAGCACTTAGTGTAAGACTTCACACAGTCAATTTATATTGATTTTCTTCCCTGTACACTAGTTTTACATTGCTGTATCAATTTATAATAGGCTTAGGTGTAAATTTTCTATTAAGAAGTTGTATGAAATGCAGTTACAACTTATTTTTTTCAGGTTTAGAAGTTTTACATTCTGTGATATGTGTAGTGATCTTGTATCTCAACCTGCTTTTTATTGGGGGAACAGTCTTATCAGTTATTTTTTCTATTTCATTTTTCATGGTAAGTACTTGCAGTGGTCTAAGTGTTTTTACTATAGTTTTTTTTTCTACTGTTATTATCAGTACAGTGGTTAAATTTATCAAAGGTCAGATTTGGTGCATCTTGAAAATTCATTCTTTGTGACTTTTTTATTTCATCTTAATTCATAGAAAGGGCATAGTTAAAAATGTAGTTACTTTCTTAAGTTGGCCATATATACTCTACATCTTAAAGTAAAACACTAACTCGTCTCTTTATTGTCAAACATAAATCAGCTATTTTACAAATTTTATATGGAACTGAAACTTAATATTATTGGCTTTTTTCACTTTAACATAATGCATAGGTGACTGGTCTTATGCTTACATGAAACATAAGACCTGGTCTATAGATAATTAAACATACTTTTTATAAAATCCCTGAGATGAATGAAATTTAATCTTTATAGTTGTCAGTGCCACAAGATTTAATGTGGGTAATTTTTATTCATGCCAAGATATTTTCTTGTGTATCTATACATCATAAAAGTATAATATTGTTGAAATAGCCTTTGTAGAAAGTGAAAACTTAGGTTTGTAATTTTTCATGCTGACTAAATAAGTACCGAGATAACTAAAAAAAAGATTTTTATTGTTGTGTGTACAGGTAAATAATCTGAGAAACTGGTCTCAAAGAATCAAAGATTAAATATTAATTTGTCTGATGCACTTGATTCTAGAGTAGCATTGCTTTTCAAACATGAAATATTGACCATCACATACTCATATGGAATTCATAATTGCTAGTTACAAATACCCTGAAAAAAGGATAGGTATACTTCACATTTAAATTTAATATTTCACTGGCAAAGGATGCCTGTCATGATGTATTTAATTGACAAAATATGACAACTGACCAACAAAAATGTGAACATGTACAATATAGCATGTAGTTAGTGTGTTTAAATTGACATTAGGTATGTATATTTAGCTAATGCTAAAAAAAGATTAAATGAAAACAAACCTTTTATCATAATTCTTCAGAGAGAAGTTGTGGAATGAGTAAAGAAATGCAAGCTATTCTAGGCACTAGTGACCACATTTTAGTCATAAAACATAACACCTATTATTACTCTATAAAATGTCTTGGGAGAACCATTGCAGTGGCCAACTATTTATATTATTAAAATAAAAATAGCACTTCTGTTATTTATTACAAACTGTACATGAGTAACTTTACAATGTACTTATTTACATGTAACTTTGTAATCATACTTAACAGTTTTCCTAAAATCATCTTCAAATTAATATAAATATAGTGGTACACTCGTTTGGTCAAGTAATTGTTATTTTTTGGCTTTTACTTTTATCATCATAACATTGAGTAATTTAACAGCTGTTCTAAGTTTTGGGTAGCACAATTTGAAGACGAAGATTTTTTTTGCAAACATAGCACTATTTTGCCATATCTCAGAGACACAGACATATTACCTTTGTATGTTGTGAACACACAGTGATTAACTTCAAAGACTGAACATTGTTAGAAAAGAGAAGCAAGTGTACTTTGTATTTTCTGACACTAGGGTAGAAAATTTCTGAAATAATATTACTACAAAAGGCTGTCTTGTTTAAAAAAAACAAAAAACGATTTATTTCTTTAAAATAATTTAACATTCTCTTTCTCAAGTACAATTTACACAGAGAGGTGTTGATTCCTTGCTTGAGTAAAGTGAACCAGTTCTACAAGCAGAACTTCACAACATTTAATTTCTTTGAGAAATGTCATGGTTCACACTTTATATTGATTAGATAGAAGTTATGTTAATTAGGTAAATGTAACTGGTTGTTTATTGTTAAACCAATTTTTAAACTAGAAAACTAAGATTCCAAAAATTTGCTATGTATGGATGTGAATGTGGAAATGTGAGTGATATACAAATGGAAAATATATATGGGTATTATGCCTAATGAATTTGTTTAAACTTTCAGTTTTGATCTATACAATTAATTCTTATGATTTAATTTAGTTCTGAGGCTGAAAATCTATAGCAGTAACAATGAGAATTATTTATAGATGAAAAAGTTTAGTTGAAAGGCAATGTTCTGTTATCAGTTATATGGTAGTTTCAGCTTACAACAAACTCCACTTTCACAGCAAGGAGGCAAAAGACAAAACTTTACAGGCAGTTACTGGCTGCTGGTTTTTTATACAATGCTTGATAATAAAGGTAATATAAGCTCTAGTTTCAATCTCATTAGTCTTCTTGAACTTTTATTTTGTAAACAATCATCTTTAAAGTGACCCTCAGTCATGAAGAAGTAATAAAATTCATGGCTTCTCAATGAGTTTGTTGTGTGTGTATCATACTGTGCTGTATCATGAAATAAGTTAAATTGTAACTTATTTTCATGAAATAATGTATAGATTTAACTCACATAATTTATGATTCAGAAAGTGTACATACGACTTATTTTATTCCATTAATTGTATTCCCAACATTGCTATCAGATTAATTAAACAAATTCAACATACAAAACTTAAGAGTTGAGGATATTTCCTAAAAGGTAAAGCATTATTTTCATCACATGTATTTCATATACATTTGAATATTATACACAGAAAAAAAAAAGTGATAACACAAGTATAATTGCTTGATAAAACAATTTTGTCTGGTTCATAAATGTTGATATAGATAATCTGCTTTATGAGCTTGTTCTTAGCCTGTTTTCATGCACTTGTTTGTATCTTCATCAGGTATAGTTTTTCAGTTGTTCAGGTTGATGTACTGGTAGCATGGTTCTGAGGGAGAGCTCTTCATTGTGGTTTTGTTTGTTTGATTTTGTTTTTTGAACCAAAGATATCCAGAGTTTGCTGATCTCCAACTCTTGAGTTTTTGGTGTGGATGGATTTTTCTGTTTTTCTAGTTGTTTTCTCTGTCAGAAAGTCTACAATTGTTCCAATCTGCATTGTCCATCTCAATAGAATGTCTGGCAATAACTAGTGTGTTGGTTTTCATCAGTCAGACAGCATCTTTACCTTCTTTCAGCCATTATTCTTGTATTCTTCCAACTTCTTTGTATGAAACTCCATAAGAACACAAGGCTTTGTAGGTAATTCCATTGTTTCTCAGTTGAGGAATAGGTTGTTTTTAAATTAGTTGGTATGCTTTGTAGAATAATAATAGATTTAAAAAAATGAAATTTTCTTCAGATTTTCTGAATATTATAACTTAGCTTTGGAATAAATAGAAAGGGTAGTCTTTTGGTAGTATGTTTTGCAAACGTGTTTGAAGTTTGCTTAAATCCTATTTTAGTCTTTGAGGCATATAAACTTATTTAAAGAAAATTATACTGCAAACTTAAATTTATAGGTAATTCTTCTTTATGATCTTTATTTAGGGCTACCTTCTTATTGGCTATTATTATACTGGAACTCAAGATTACGACATCAAGTGGACCATACCTCACTGTGTTCTGACATTACGATTAATTGGTAAGTATGTTTATGTATGGTGTGATTATAATAATATCAAGTGGAACTTTCTTTGTTGTTTACTAATAATTACAAACAAATGTAGGTATAACATTTAAATATCTAAAATTCAGAAGTTTTGAAAATAGCGGTATGAGAAAAAGTCTGGACAATAATTTAGCCTATTCCAACCTATTTATACTGCTTAACTCCACAGTCAGATCTTTGAGCCAATGCCTGGCCTTGATGCATATAATTTGTTAAAATAAAACTCAACTCTTTGTCTTCGAGCTGCCAGTATATTTGCTTGTAGATCTTGTTCCATTTTACAATCAATCCCGCATTTTGAATGCCTTGTATATTCAATATAAAACTAGAACTATATCTGTTAATGAAATATCTTCAATCTGAGTGCCAATTTGATAGAAGAAAGATATGTTTGCAGAGATTTACATGAGTGTTTTGAACCCCCATTTTGAAACAAAGAAAATGACCACGCCCACTACTGCTGGTTGGCCTTGTCACTTTACTTCTGAGCAAGCTCGGAAGTTATATGAGGATCTTCTGAGCCAGGAAAATGACTTTATTCCCAGTGATCTTTATGATGATGATTTTGGAAGTGAGAAATCTAACTTTGATAAATCTAGTGAAAGTGAGAAACAGGTGAGTCCTGTGGCAGACCCTTCAGGTATGAGTACAAGTAAAGGCAAGGGAAAACCCAATGGTGCTACTGTGAAGAAAAGAAAAGCAGGGTCTGGATCTAGAATATCAAGAGGGAGAGGACAGTTGTGGGAGCAGAAGTAAATTGTGAGAATGGTGAAGATGAAGTAGCATGGAGAGTAGTTGAAGAAGGAGAGACTGACATGAACTTTTCATTCTGTGAGCCACACCAAAATGTGAAGCTTGGTTTGGATGAAAGCCTTTCAACACTGGATTTCCTCAAAGCTTTTCTTGACAAATAAATTGTGGCCACTTTGATTTCTAGCATCAATGCATATGCAGCAAAGGTTTTGGAGAAAACAATCATCTTTAGCCTTGTGGATGCCAGTTACTTATTTTCAATGGTTGACGTTTACAGCAATTTTGATTGCTATGGGTTTGGACCCTTAACCCAAGATGAGGGACTACTGGTCCACTACTGGATATTTCTACACACCCTGGTACCATCAGATATTTGCTAGGGACAGGTTTAAGATCACCTACCACAGCACGCTTCATGTCTGCAAACCAGATGCTGAAGACAAAGCAAAGATTGAGCCATTTGTGGATAAGTTCCAGGCTGCCTTCTACCCATATGAAAATGTGTGTATTGATGAGATGATTATCAGTTGGAAAGGCAGATTCAAGCACAAGCAGTTTAATGCAAGCAAGGCAAAAAAGATCACATCAATACATTTGGGCTTTGTAATTCTGCAACAAGCTATGTTGTTAATTTGAAAATTTATTTTGAAAAAGACACAACTCTGCCCTTGGCACCAACTATGCTCATGCTGTCAAAGTTTTTGACACTCTTCTGAAGCCTCTACAACCAGGTAATCATGTGTTTGCTGACAGGTACTACACTTCAGCAGCTCTTGTAGACTAACTACACACACACACACACACAGCTTCATTTACACTGGCATGCTCAACATCAACTATGTTGGTTTTCCTGCAGAAGTGAAAAGTCTGAAATTGACCATCGGGGGGTGAAGTGGTTTTTGTACTTGGGTAACAAAACAGTGTGTTTTGTTTGGAGGGACAAAAAGGCAAAAACCATGTGTGTAGGTATCAACCAAAGCTGCAGTGCAAACCATTCAAAAGGGAGCAGGAGCAAACACCATCGTAAAGTCAAAAGTTGAGGATGACTACAACATGTTGATGAATGGCTGCAATTGCATGTACCATATGGTGGTATATTGTAGTATGCACAACTGCAAAACCTGGAAGTGGAGGAAGAACGTATACCACTGAATTATCAAAGTGACCCAAGTAAATGCCCACATCTTGTACAGTTTATGCCAGCTAAAAGGGACAAAGGAAGTGAGTGTGCCAGTTTTCAAACATAACCTCATTGATGGCCTTACAAACAAAGCTGCAGAGGTGACATCTAAAGACATCATAAGCCATCCCCCAAAAAATTCAAAACATGGAAAAAAGGGAATGAAGTGGTGAGGGTGGTTGGAGCCAGACATCTTGTGAACTATGAAGGAAAGGATCAAGACTGTGTGCGGAGGTCCTGAAAAACATTGTTGCTCGAGTTATATTTGCACAGGATGCATGTAGAGACCCTATCTGTGTCCAAAGAAGTGCTTTATCACAAGCAGAACAATGAGTAGCACTAGCCTAGACTTGATGATTGCTGTACATAAACTGTATATATTTGTAAGGTGCTGTTCCTGATTTTCTTCATTTGTTGCTTCCCTTTGACGTAATGCATAATGATGCACTATTCAATAAAATGCACTTTACTTATGGTTTCAAGGACAATTATTGATATACATTTCAACAATCTTCATCTACCTGCTATTTTGGAGCTTTTTCACTGGATATTCACCATGGGGGCAGGTCTAGGACTTGGTAAGTTATGTTTGTGTGAATATTTCTTCATCCTGTCTATCTTCCAACCATTCTTTCACAGTCTAAAATTAATTTATCTTTCACGAAACCTTCATATTTTGAGTAGAATATAAATCTACATCCATTTCCCTCTACTATGATTTATAATACTATGCATAATAAGAGGTATACCTTGAAAACCATTATATCAATTTCATTAATTGTCAATAGGCAATCAAAATCAGCACTATAAAACAATAATGAACTTAATATAAATTCAAAACTCTATTTTAAAAAAACCAAAAAACCTTTGCACTTTCCGGTCATTATCCAAAAGTCATAACGGAGATTGCCTGTGATAATAGCACCTAAAAAGCAGATGAGAAACTAGTCAGCAGTCATGGAAAAGTCATTAAGGGTACAGAGTTGAGTGCTTACACCCACAATGTCTCAACTCTTACTGCCTTTCACTGTCTGCAGCTAGTTGTGGGAAGGCAGTTACCCTTAAAAAGACATAATACAGATAAAAGTAGAAATAAGATAAAATTAAGCCACCCAAAAAATATATATTTCTATTATACAATGCCTACCATCCTCCATCCTTAAAAGTCCTAACAGTAGAATAGATACCACCCTAATAATTCTACTACATGTTACTGGAGGTGAAGGTTGGGAGTTTTATTTTGGCTCTTTAAATTGTTTTAGGTATTTTTATTACTTACAACTTTAACTTTTTGTAATTACAATAGGCCCAAAATTTGTGATAAAAAGTATGTAAACTGTAGATTTTTTTTCTCGTATTACGTTAATTTGTCCTTTTCCGTATAAAAATTGTGTAATATTAAAATGAAAAAATGTCATTTTTTCACTAAAGGTGAATGTAAGCACTTGGCATTGAATATAGCAGAGTAAGTGATAACCATGTGCATTTTTTACATTAGTGCAAGACTTCTATATTGGAGCTTAAATACAATACAAAATCTAATATATTTCAGTAAAACAAGTTGAGTTTACTTAAGTTCAAGACCAGGTTTTGTTTTAAAATTTTAGATTCTTGTAATTAAAATGTAGTGATTTATTTGTTATGTTATGCTTTCATTTTGAAAATTTTATCAGTACAATTGAGAAAATGGTTTATCTAAACCATGACTATTGATTGTAATTCTGTTCTATTCTGACACATTTTTGTTTTTTATTCTTTCTACTGTTTATGCAATACATTTTATTTTAATTAATGCATCTTGATTGTTCTTGAGTTTTTCATCAAAATAATTTTTTTGTGCTTTATTCTATAAAATTTCCTAGCTGAGTTATTAATGTTTTTGATTTTTATTTGCATCTGGTCCATGGTGTAAGGATGCCAGTATTATGTCTTGAAAACAAAAGTTCCAAGTAAATTTTTGTGAGTATTGTTGATTTTGCATGAATTAATTAGCAAATAAGTAGTTAATTTCTCTCTCTTTTTTTTTATTATTTTAGGGGTTTCATATGATGTGTATGATGGAAGAAAAAGAGTGGTGAGTTTTTTAGTTTATACGTGATGAGCTGCGAATATTACTTCATCTTTACTCACCTAGCATATGTTTGCACTTCCCAAAATAGAGAACAACTTAAGTATTTTTCTTTAACCCATTGATTGCAGCTGCTCTAAGCACTCGCATAATTTTTGTAAGCCATACATTGTATATGCCACACTTGCATTCAATTGCCAGAGGTGGACCATACCCTATACAGCAAATCAGCAGTCAATGAGTTAACTATGCCTCAGTATTTTGAATATATTGTATTTATGTTCAAGCAATAATGTAGTTTTTTAGGATTTTACAGTTTCTAAACCTTGTTTAGTAGATAAACTGTGAAGTAAGGTTATTTTGTAAAGTACATGCGTGTATTTGACATTTTTAGTATTCCAACCAGTTCATGTTAATAATTTTTCAAATAGGAAAAGCTTTCAGAAGACCAAAAAAAAACTGCTCTAGTCAAAGCTCCATCTCTACTGGAGATAGGAGGACATACATACTTTTTTGGAGGCTTTTTAGTAGGCCCACAGGTAAACATTGTCATCAAAAAACTGTAGATAAGACATTAGCTCAAAGATATATTGGTTCTTTAGGCTTGAGTTTTGTAATGATAAATATATAATTTACTATTATCTTTTGATAATTTTAATCCTAATTGTTATTTAACATATATTTACATCAAATTTTGAAGTCTTTTTGTAAAAGAATATCTAAAAGAAAGTTATTTTTTGGGTTGAAATCAGAAATTTTTCTTAAAATCTTAACATACAAATACTTCTTTCAGGTTTTTGGTTAACCCTTCCATTACAGGCTGGGTGGAATCCACCCAGCTTGTAACCACAAAAGTATCCATGAGAGTAACTATACTGTGATTTTTGATAATGTATGCACATCTTTACAAAATTTTGCAAGTTATTGGTAAACATTACAAGGTTTTCTTACACAAAATATCAGGTTTTTAAATTAAGTATTAAGGATTTTTAATTAAAGATTTTTTGCAAACCTTTTTCTTTCAGAATGTTGACTATCCAACATGCAAATCAATTTGGATTTTAAGATTAAAAATACTTTAATGCATTAGAACATTTTCAAATGCAAAATCTTTATAATCTCTAGATAATTATAATTTTTTTTATAGAAAAAACTGTATTTTGTCTGTTATTTTCGCTATTGAACTTCTGTATGGGTTCGTTTGATGTGATCGAATTTCTAATCTCAATAAAAATTAGGAAAAAAAATATAAATCATGCTTTTTTTCGTTTTAGAATAACTACAAATTATAACATGAAAACATAAATGTTTAGTCCAAATAGCTTAAATCTAGTAACATTATATATTTATATATGTTTATTATTTTTATTATATTGAACTTCCAGCCATGCCTAGCTAACAATACAGAAGTTACTATGATGTGGAGCATGTGCACTCGTGTTAACATATCCAATAATATATAACTGACCTTTAGTCTTTACAAACTAACCTGTCTTGGCTGTGTTTTAGTGGACAAGTATTTTGTAAAATACAGACACATTTCAATT